TCCACTTAATTGCTTAGCATAGAAAGGGAACTTTCGTGGTGCAGTGGGCTAGGCATTAGGCTGCTAACACCAAGATTTAAACCCACCAGCTGCTCTTTGAAAGATCAAGCTTTCTGCTTCTGTAAGATTTAACTCCCCTCTCAGCCCCCTAATCCACACAGGCAGTTCTACTCCGTCCTATAGGATCACAGAGTGGGAGTCAACTTTTGGCAGCAAAACTGTCAAGAGTGGTAGCATTCATAAGGTAAAATGATACAACATTAGAGCAAATCTTTCCTGATTTTAAACAGTTTAGTAACTTGGTCTGTTTGAAAGTCTGCCTATTAGTCTACATAAAGTTTCTGTATTACTAAAATGATAAATTCTGCAATTCCCATCATTTGCTATGTTTTCCATGGGTTGTTATGAGGTACACTGTAGATGGCTTTGCATAGTCAATGAAATTCAAGTACATTTTTTCTTGCTTGTCAGTATAGATTCAACTGACATCAGCAATAATATGTTTTGATGTACTCTTCTGACCCAAACTGAGCTTACTGCTCTTGTGCTGATGATGACTCATAGTGACCATATAAGGCAGTGCAGACCTGCCCCTCGAGTTTCTGAGACTGTAACTCTTTATAGGAGTAGAAATCCCTGTCTTTCTCGCATCCTTTTCTGAATTGGGTTTGAATTTCTGTCAGCTCCCTATCAATGACCTTTTCCCAAGGTCTTTATATTATCTTCATAAAATTATACTTCCTCTGATTGTCCTTGTATTGTTCAATAATTTCTATATTTTGTTGGTCCTTTTTGTCCATATTTTGTTGGTCTTTCTTTAGAATGGACACACATATGAATCCCTCCCTGTTTGTGGTGAGGTCTTACAAGTTTCCAGCACTGCATCAGTTTGTTGAAACATTTCCATTTCCATCAAATCCTGGAGTCTTTTCCCCGCCAATGCCTTTAGTGAAGTTTGGACAATACCAAGGGTTCTTGGTCATATGCTACTTCTTGAAATAATTGAATATCAACCTGTTCCTTTGGTACAGTGGCTCTATATTCCTGCCATAGTCTTTAATAGGATTCTTATATTAATTCAATATTTTGTCCATATATTCCTTCAATTTTGCCACTGGAGGCTTGAGTTTTTTTTCTCTATTAATTTAATTGAGGAACTCTAAGTGATTCTCTTCTTTTGGTTTTCTAACTCCAGGTCTATGCCCATTTTATTATTATATTTTACTTTATTTTCATGAGTTAGTTTTTGAAATTTTGTTTAGCTTTTTAACTTCATCTTTTCTTCCATGGGCTATAGCTTCTCTGCATTAAATAGCAACTTCCAGTCTTTTCTGCTTTCTATTTTTGCCTTTTCTTCCTTTCCTGTATTTTTATTACATTTATGTAAGAGGCCCTTGATGTCATCCTACTCATTAGATTCGACATGTCAAATTTGAGATGGCTTTACCCTCAGCTGGGAAATATTCAAGGTTTTTGCTAATTTTTTAGCACTCATACTTTTTAAAATTTTCTTTAACTTCAGTATGAACTTGCCTATATGATCAAATAATCATCTTTTCCACAGTCAGACTCTCTACTTGTTTTGGCTGATTGAGCTTCTCCATAATGTCTCATGGAAGGAGTCATTTTGGTTCTTCTGAATTCTATCTGGCAAGGGCCACGTGTACAGTGGTTGTTCATGTTGTTGAAATAGGTACTTGCAAGAAGTCATTGGTCTTGCAAAATTCTATCCTGCTTTTTTAATACGCATTTCTATCCTCAAGACTATATTTGAAAACTACAGATCCTTCCTCTTTGTTTTCAACTTTCACAATTCAATCACACATTGCATCTTGATTGTGTATTCAATCGTTTGCATACTGGAGAAGTTGGTACAGTTCTTGATATTCTTCATCATTGGCTTCAGTGTTTGAATTGTGATGTGCATAAATTGGACCAATTGGCTTATTCATTATTGTTTCTTGTATCCAAAATCAAACCCAACTCATTGCCATCAAGTGGATTTCCCTCACAGCGAGCATAAATGCCAGAGGAGGCCTGCGCTTTGGGCTTCCAAGGCCATGATCTTTTTGGAGCAGATCATCACAACTTGCTCTCTCAAAGAGGGTGGTGTATTTGACCCAGTGACCTGGAGGTTAGAAGTCCAAGTCTTCAACCTCTACACCACCTGGGCTCTTTGGTATTCCTTGTGGGTGTATGGATAATATCCTTCAAGAGAGAACTTGA